TCAAGAAATAGAAAGAGAGGGTACAATTTCGTAAACTAGCTCACGGCTCTTGTGAATACGGCAATGAACTTTCGGGTACTGTAAATGGCGCGGAATTTATTGACTAACTGCACGACTAGCAGCATGTCAATAAAGATTTCGCTTACGTTGTTCGTGTGATTCTGGTTGGTGCATTTCGTTTATCTTGGCAACTCGTCGGACCAGAAGGTGCTGTTGCCATGGCCATGCGATGCTTTGTCTTGAAGGGTGTAACCAGTTTTCCTGACAACTTATAGAAAGTGAAAGCTGACCGACGAAATGATTCATTGAAATGCGTTTCAACTCCTTAACTATGTGTTCCGTATGGTTCTCACAATAAACAGCGACTGTTTCCCTAAACAGCATTAACCAGTTGGGCTCTGTAGCGGAGACGTAATGTGTTTCCTGTGAGGTACGGACTGAATCTCTATATTATTTGTGTGTTCCGTACGGTTCTCGCAATAAACAGCGACTGTTTCCCTAAACAGCATTAACCGGTTGGGCTTCGTAACGGAGACGTAATGTGTTTCCTGTGAGGTACGGACTGAATCTCTGTATTATTTGTGTGTTCCGTACGGTTCTCGCAATAAACAGCGACTGTTTCCCTAAACAGCATTAACCGGTTGGGCTTCGTAACGGAGACGTAATGTGTTTCCTGTGAGGTACGGACTGAATCTCTGTATTATTTGTGTGTTCCGTACGGTTCTCGCAATAAACAGCGACTGTTTCCCTAAACAGCATTAACCGGTTGGGCTTCGTAACGGAGACGTAATGTGTTTCCTGTGAGGTACGGACTGAATCTCTGTATTATTTGTGTGTTCCGTACGGTTCTCGCAATAAACAGCGACTGTTTCCCTAAACAGCATTAACCGGTTGGGCTTCGTAACGGAGACGTAATGTGTTTCCTGTGAGGTACGGACTGAATCTCTGTATTATTTGTGTGTTCCGTACGGTTCTCGCAATAAACAGCGACTGTTTCCCTAAACAGAATTAACCGGTTTCTCTTCCTAAAACAGCGTAAACAATGAACTGGAAAGGATGAGGAAGGAAGCCACCCACTTTGTGATAGTATCCTAGCAGCTGCCTCGAGACCCTTAGGAGAAACTCCAGCACCTCAGTCAGGAGGGCTGATCGCCGGTCCGAGATGTGAACCCAAGCCGTCCCAAATGTTTCTAGCTTAGTAAGGCGGGATATCTCGGTCGGTTTAGGGGCAGGCTATGGGCTGCACACCAAGGTTCGATTTCCGAAAGGGGCAAGAAATTGTTCTCTTCTCAACAGCGTTCGCCCCGCCTCTGGGGTTCACCCAGCGTCGTATCCAGTGGGTACCTAGGTTTGTTCCCCGGGGGTTAAACGGCCGGGGCGTGAAGCGGAATACTGACCTGCATCACATACTGAGATGACGCGCTTAACTGAGCAGAGGGACAGGTGCGTTTGTCTGGTGTCAGATGAACTGATTGTGAGGAGCAGAGGAGGCGTGAGCTGCTCAGGATGGCGTGCAGTGCTGTGATGGTGGCCTGCCATGGGACGAATGGTGTGCCAATACACGGAGCTGCCACTCACCCCCAACACTTGCTGTCTGCAATCGTGCGCCCTACCCGTGGACCCGTGGACCACCATTTTTGGTCAAGCGTGTGTTGAGTGCAATTCTGCGCAGATCAATATGAGTATTGATTACAATTTTATTGCGTCGCAATATTGCTGCTGCTTTTTGGTGGGGGCGCAGTGTTTTCGCAGTACCTGCCTGGGGAAGTCGGCAGTTCCCTTGACTCACTATCACCCCTCGGCCTCATGGGAGCCCCGACAATAATCCACCCTGTCTGAGCTAGAAACAGAACATTATATATTTCTTCGCAAGATCTGCCGCTGAGCTAGGTCCCCTGGGTTACCGCTGCAACTGCGGGGTAGTGTGGCATGGCTCATTTCGTACACGTGCACCCCAACATTTCCCTGAAGATAGCTTCACTCCGCTGTATCGAGGGTAGTTTCCATGTGCCCAGTCCGAAGTGTGTCATCTTGACAACCAAGTGTTATTTATAGGTGCAAATGTTCTTAAACTGTGCAGCATATAAACAGGCACACAAGACGCAACCCAAGCAACAACCCCTGTGCTTAAATAGAATTAAGCAATACGCCCTGAAGACATATGGGGGAGTGGAGGTATAGCTCCACTATTCTTTACCTCAGCACTAGATGAGGGTTAGTGGTCAGCTTAATGTCCCAGCTGCTTTACCTACCCGGGGAAACAGCCCCCGTTAACCATTGGAGACGAGGCTGGGTGGGCCCCAGAGCCGGTCTGGACGCTGTGGAGGAGAAAACTCTTGCACTGCCGGGAATCGAACCCCAGCTCATAGACCATCGCTATACCGACAGAACTGTACCGTTTTATGGCGCAGAAAATGAATCAGAAACTGTCTCCCCAACTTCCCTTGTTATGCTCGAGTAAGTGCCACCTTGGTTGCTAGGCTCCTGCTGTCGCCAGTTGCGCAGAAGCTCCGCAGATGCGAGCAACGTGTATTCACGCGCAGACCCTCACGTCACTTCGCATCGAAACAGTCTGCTGCTGTTCGCGAAGCATTTAGCAGTGCGTAAAACCCTGACAGGGGGTCATCGAATAAGACAACACTGATATCACCTGTACGCTTGCATGTTCTGTTGTAGTTCTGGCTACGTCTTAAAAGTAACAGGCGGGTCACGCGGTAGCGTAGCTCGTTCACGCACTATGCTGCAAGCCGGAAGATCGCGGGTTCGATTGGCGATGAAATCACTGGATTTTTCAATTGACCTAATCCTTCCAGCCGCATTATGACCCTGGGGTCGACTCAGCTTCTAACAGAAATGAGTACCAGGAATCTTCCTGGGAGGTAAAGGCCGGCCGGCGCGTAAGGCTGACCTCACCGCCATCTGTGAATTGATTGTCTAGAAAATGTGGGAGCCTCGACGTCTCACAACCCAATGGGCCTCCACGGCCTGTTACAGGGATACCTTTACTTTCTTTTCATGCAACAACCTGTACTCTCTATCCAAAGTGCGTGTGCAAGTTACTCACTGGTCCTAGTACTCGCAGTTGCCCTTCGGAGAGGAAGAGGAACATTACTCAGACAGCATTTGCACTTTCATGTCCTTCCCACGCTTCAACATCACGTTTGCATTCCGTTTCCATGGAAACGGCGTGGCAGCGACACAACATCAAACGACAACCACTACCCGCCCTGCTTAGGCTCCTACTTGTGAGTTAATGCGTTCCCGAAAAGGGCGCGTAAATCGAGTTCCTTACAATATGGGACCTATAGCGTTTCGTTCCTGGAGGTCAAGGCTAAGGGCATAATTTTTTCAATGCATTTTACCCCATGTTACGTTTTAATTTTATTTTTAATACAAAATCAATGAGGAGACACGATATAACGCAGTATTAAGCATGTGGACTATTAATTTTCTTCTCATGGGGTGAGACTGAGCTCGCCTCTATTTGGCCTATTGTACCAGCCCCAGATGATGATTGTGGAGCACTCGGTGGGATGCGAATTGGCGGGGGAAACCGAAGTACTCGGAGGAAACCTGCCCCAGTGCCACTTTGTCCACCACAAATTCCACATGACCACACCCTGGCTCGAACCCGGGTCGCCTCGGTGAGAAGCTTGCGACTAACCACCTGAGCCATGGCGCAGCCTCTATTAAATATAAGTAAGTTACTTAATGTTATATCATGTATCGTTAAGAGATGCCATTAAAGACATTACAGCACGGCGTAGGTCCGAAATTCGAGTTTGGAGTCCAAAATGCGGGGGCGCAGGTCTGAACTGTGAAGTCGAGAAATTCGAGGAGTCGGGAAGTCGCGGGTGCGACGGTGTGCAGTACAAGGGGGCTAACAATACAACTGTACACCTGGGAGCGGCAGCCGAAGGGTGCAAAGTGACTGCAGTGAAGCCGAGCTCCAGCTGTTCCCAAACGCAATTTAAGAACGAAAGCAGGCACACTGCAGCAGTAAAACGAAACGAGGTCACCCGCACATCGCGGCTGCTTTGCTCGGAATTTATTACCGCTTATCTGCATATTACATAAGCAAACATACACGTCACACAGCGGAGCGGTCGCGAGGGCAGTGCTCGGTTTCGTATTGGGAGGTCCCGGGCTCAAACTTCGGCTTTACCACCATTTTGTCTGGGCTTTATCGTTTTATCTATTCTATAGGAAAATCCTAGGTCAGAATCTAAAATTAAATCAAGACCACGTCCTTCGATATCCTTGTCAGTTCATTACTCATTTTCCAGTAACTCGACTCTAGACCTATATACTCTCACATAACAAACAGCGTCGTTAAATAAAAGAAAATAATATTAAAGTAAAACCTTTCAGAATTCACTGGGGGGTCCTTATTCGTTACATAACTTTTCGTACTATTAACTTCCCCTGCTTTCTCCTGTATTCCTTTCTAGTCCTGAATGTTACCGAATGATACGTCGAGGCAGACGTTTAAACGCCATCTCCCACAAATAGCACGCACAAATATTCAACCGTAACGCATCTCCTTTATGTACATTACATTCCACATTCTGACACCAAAACATTATCAGCGCCCTGAGAACAACCAAGACACATTGAAAACAAAAGACTGTACCCTCGTTCGTGTCCCATTACATAATCTACGTAAATGCAACGTGTTAATGGCTGACCACATCGTTCCTGCGGTAACCCGAAATTCCGTTAACGCCAGGTCTCACGCTCACGTAACTTTTTTTTAATTCGCTTAGTGGGGGGTGGAGTCCAACTGGGTCCACTCGGCACGGCGGCCACTGATTGGCCTATTGTAGCCAGCCCCGGGTGATTATGATGATGGAGAATTTGGTGGAATGAAGATTGGCAAGGGAAACCGAAGTACTCGGAGAAAACGCGCCCCAGCGCCACTTTGTCCACCACAAATCCCACTTGACCGAACCCGGGCCGCCGCGGTGGTTACGTATGCCACACGTGACAAGCAAACTTACCTGACCCGAAGCGGCGTCTCAGCTCCTGTGGGTGAGCACAAACACGAAGCAGGAGGGGGGGGGGCGGTTACTGCGGTCGGTGTGAAGTGCAAACGAAGGACACAGCACGGGGTCCTGTCTTCCACGTGTTCCTGCGAAATGTCCCTGTCACCAAACAAACTTTCACTCGAAAGGTATTTAAACACACGGCGCCCCGACATCCACACTTGGCTTTGTTTACATCTCACCGCTTCCCATGTGATGTAATGATTTGCTCAAAGCAGTGGGCCCAGCGCACGAGACGCCCCCCCGAGACTTGTGGCGGGGGCGGGCGAAGAGGCTAAGTGACAGACGAACTGCAACACAGAAGCGAGGAGGCGGTGCGGCAGAACCACAACTGCTAGTGTTTACTGACTGACTGACTTGTGTGACTAGGCCAGGGTTCATCGCTGGTTCGCACTCCCCCCCCCCGCGCTGAAACGCCGCGCGCACAGCACCCCGTAACAGGAACAGCGCCATCTTCAGTTCAGGAACTTTCCGTGAAATCCGGTTCTAATTTTACACGGCGCCTAATGGCGCAGTTCTCATTAAAACCTGTTCATCTTTCTATTTGTCTGGCCAATTCTGCACCGTCATCAATATCCCACAGAACTTCAAAGTTTTGATACAAAAATGTGAAGGAAAGTGAGCACTAGGAAAACCTAGTGGTAGATAGAATTGATCTCAACGATGTAGGAAGGTGTGGATTGGATATGTCTGGCTCAGGACAGGGACCAGTGGAGGTCTCTTGTGAGCGCGGTAATGAGCCTTCAGATTCCATAAAATTCTGCAGATTTCTTGAGTAGCTGGGCAACTGTTAGCTTCTCAAAGACTCAGCTCCATAGAGTCAGTTGGTATCTCACGGTATAGAGTAGCAGGAGAGGATTATCGGTGAACAAGGGACGGGATTTGGAAGGAAGAGGGTCAGGCCTAATGGAGCCAATATGCAACTATTTTCCTGGACTGACTGAGGAAAACGACGAACAACCACAGGCGGAATAGCCAGGGTCGCGGCCGAGACTGAAACCGAGAACCTCATGAATGCAAGTCCAGAACGTGAAGGAACCTGTCACTTGCTGATGATGTCAAAACCACGCCCCACCCCACTGCTCCCGCCCCCTCCGTACTAATTTTTAGGCTGTTTCATATTTTGAAAAACATAAAAGTAGGCTTATGATATCACCAATGCTGTCTGTGAACCCGCCCCCATCAACTTTTGAATGGCTCAACCAGTCTTTATGGAACCTGGACTCATGTCAACGGCGTCCTTCATAAATCCCTCCTACCAGTGCGTGTGTCTGTAGGTGTAGACCGTTATCGTTGCTAGGCAACGGCTCAGTAAAAACGTTACCGCGGTTACGATCACATACCCAACAATGGAACAATTGTTTGACGCGTAGTTCTCTATGCGGTCAGTGTCCTATCAAAGGAAAACATGCGATTAGTTCTTCCCAGAGCTTCTTGTTGTTATTAAAATTCTGTATAATTTGTTACTTTTTAAATTCAGATTCTGTTTACAAAAGTCCGGGACGGGGCACGCCTGGTTTTTCCCAGGCTCCCCGCCGGAGCCAAGCCCACAGCAACTTATACGCGTTTACGGAATTTGGTACATGTGCTGTTTGGGGCTCTGTTGCTGCAGACTGTTCTAGTGCTGTACTTGTAAAAACATTTTCAATAAGTTCTGATACTTGCGCATTAACGGATGACGAAAGCAACTTTAACATGTACCGCCATGTTAGCAGCCGCGTCAGCACTGCCAACCTTACATTTCGCCTTCAGCAACGAATCCACTGATTCATCAGAATTTTGGTTATGTTTTCTGCCTTCTGAGGTTAAGCTGTGAGTTTTGTCTTTACACATAAACTTCTGCGGCTGGCAGAGCTAACATGGCGCTAGGTTATGAAGTTACTTGCCTCACTCGTTAACGTGTAAGTACCATATCTCCCTAGAACACGACTTTCTCTTTTTAAAATTGAATCTTAGACAAAAATTTTAAAAATATGTTTACGTGTAGAGCTATATGTTTGCAAAGTTGCATGATTGCAGCTTCTGGTTGCTTACGAGTTCCAGTTAACATTGCGAAATACTGCTTGCAATGTTCCCCTCAAGGCAATGCCTGATAGTGCCTGCAGTCGCGTTTGCTGACACGGCTATGTTGGTCAGCATTCGAAAGGCAAACCTCCCGCAATGAAGTTAGGGCATCAATAAGTACTGTGACGCCGTGTAGTCCAATACGCGGTCCTCATCGTTCAAATTCTACCGGACTAAACGGCGTCACATCCATCTTGCATATTACTGTTGCTCGCTTGTCTTACTTTTCGACCCTGAGTATGGAAGCAGGATGTTCCCCCGAAACGTAAGTAAAGCTCTACCAGAACACAATAAATACACGTACAGCGAGTGGAGAGTCAGCCCCCACACAACTGACAGAATCAAGAATTGCAGTGGTGTTTCCATGGCAACGGGAAGGAAATAAGATGGAAGACTAACGAAGGAGGGAGAGGGGCCCGTCCTTCAGTGCAGGCCACGAGCAGATGAAATCAGTGTCTGTTTAACGACGCTGTCAGTAGCACAAGCTCTCGAGCAGTAGAATAATACGCGAATAATGAACTGGAAACGATGCGGGAGGAAGTGGACGAGGCCTACTTTGAGGTACTGGCCATATATTTGCCTGGATGGACTGCAGAAAACAACAGTACAGTGTCCGAGTCCAGATCTAAACCTGGGACCTCTCGGTCACGAAGGAGGAAAGCTATCCATGGGGACGTTGAACTTACAAATTAATTTCAGAATTGTTACATGTCAGAAACATCTGCAGACTACAGCAGGGAAGAAAATACTTTTCAGAGGGCGTCACTAAGGAGAACCGACCGACAGTTTAAAATATGTTAAACAAATACACAAATTTAAAGGAAAATTTTATAGCACTGGCCAGGCACTGAATGGTGTATGGTCACTTGGCCTTAGGAAACACTTCCCCCCCCCCAATACAATTGTGACCCTAATCTCCTGAGCTGATCAGGGCTACAGGGCAATTTTCATTACAGAGTATAGCGTAGGGACAAGCCCATTGCAAGAACTGAGTATGCCCTGGCATTCAGAACATTAAGACGCAAGAAAAGCCGTTGCCAGTTGGACAAGAGTTCGTGTAAAAACGTCTGTCCGTCTGTCTCTATGTAACCGACGGATAAATTCGAACAAATTCGTGGTATGGACGTCAGTGAGGCTCACGCCAAAGCACAACTGGCAAAAAGAACATGGCGGACGCACCAACTTGTGGGATGGGAGTGATATGACTGCAACTACCGAAATGCGGTAACCATGGTAACCACAGTAACTGCAGAGTTTTATGAAAGGTGCACACATCGAATGCGCATTCATATGACCATGGTACAAAGAGCACATGCGCAAAATGTGCGCATTTTGATGCGGGTTGCAGCTTTTCAGCCCTGTTTATTGTCATAACCTGATCGTCCAGCTCTTATCCAGTCACTTTACTGACTCAACCATTCCAGCTCTCAAGAAGTTGTTACTACTGACGTTTCGGGTAATTTCTCTTCCGGTTAACCTATGCACTGTCTCTAACACACTGTACGCCCGGTTGCAATACCGGCAAGCAACAACCCTCCTGATAAGGATTTTTATGTTTTACCTAAGTTCATCGGGGTAATGTTGGGATAGTACCTTAAACTGAGGCATGACCGGTTCCGTCCACATCTTTCAATTTCATTCTTCATAGTCAACCCATCTTTCGATTATACAGATGCCGATTACTGACAGGATCGTTAAACAGTCTGCTAGAAAAGCAAACAGACAGACAGACAGACAAATTGCAGAGAGAGCGGCTTCGTTGTCATTTCATAAGCAGAGTGTAGCAATGCTGGCAGGACTGGTCACATCAATACACAGATTCGTGAGAGCAAGGGAGATGCGCGCGCACAAGCCACCGCTACACGATACAGGTAATAGTCACAGGACTAACTCAGCTCAGGCACGGCCTAGACCGCTCAGACGGGGTTCCCAACAGATCGCCCTGTAATGGCACACTCCAAATTCAAAAGTTTTGATACCCCTACAAGGGAAGGTAAATGGTACCAGAAAAATTAAGGATGAAACACGACTGTTCTGAGATGGACGTTTCGTAACTAACTGAGCGAACCAAAATGGAGCAGAGTTCTTCATCCGAAGGTTCGTTTCCGTGTTCACAACAGCCCACCATCCGTCCACATTCTGAGCCTGATTAATCCAGTCCACACCTCCCATCCTGTTTCTTTAAACCCTCTTTTAATATTATTCTGGGGCACGTGGTAACGTAGTTGGTTGAGGCACTATGCTACAAGGCGGAAGGTCGCGGGTCATGAATCCGGTGGTACTCGGACCTGAGAATAGCTGCGCTGGCGAGGACCAGCAGAAATTGTAAACAGCAAGCCCATCCTCTCGTCAGAGGGACTATAACCGCAAGTGTTCAGTTGGAAAATAATATTACTGGTCGTGAGTCTCAAGGGGCTTGTCGCCAAGACGAACTCATTGGCTGTAAACCGTCAGGCGTAAAGTAAGTCTGACTCTGTTTTTAACCGTGTAAAGTCAGTTGATATACGGGAGGTTCGCGACCGGCCAACTCGATCAAGTATTCCCGTGCTTTTGCTCCTGTCACAATCACATTAAAGTGCTCAGACAATTGTACAGATATATAAACGGACCCCCTCCAGAGCGACACGCATTGGCTTCACTTAGACAAGTTGCGAAGAGACGTAAGCGTGTCCATGTACACAAGAGACTGGGGACGAGGATTCGAATCGAATCGAAAATCTCTACCGCTACACCTGCACATCGCTTTAACAGCCGTGGCTGCCGTACAGACTGGTAAGAACACTGAGATCACTTGATACCCTCGAGCAGTCTCAGAGCCTACAGGAAAGAGAGAAGTTCTGACGGGCAAACACAACCAGGGGAGGCTCTTCATGTTGGACCGCCGCGGCAGCGCTACCGACAGTTGCAGCAGGACTGCAGACAACACCTGCTCTACTACACCACAGCCTCTCATGACAGTAAACATTCATATTCTGGTACTGACGTTTCGGAGGAACATAGAGGTCCCATTTTCAGGACGGTATTCAAGGTTGAGAGCCGTCCGCACTCACTGCATTGCCCGCCTGAGATTGGGGTGCGTGGAATCTTGAGCCCAGGGCGCGATCAATATAGATCACGTGCACTTGAAGGATCAGACGCACTCAAACAATCGTCTTTGGAACCCTCTTCGCCAGTCTCACCCCTCTCGTAATCTGAGGGTACGGAGAAGCGATGTGCAAGCCGTGGCCGGCAAGCTAGAGATGGAGAACTGCTCGCCGTTTCGCGGTGAGTTCTTGTGAAA